CTGATGCTGCTTGGCCTGCTGTGTTGATCCAGCTCTACACCTTGTTATCTAAGGGTCATAACTGTGGTGTGTACGTGACCCAAATGTCAGAGTCAGGAGATTTTCTTTTAGTGAACACAGAAGCTACAGCAACAGATTGCTCAAAAGAACAGCACTTCAATGTTTCTTTTCCATGAACAATAACACATCCACCCACCCTCGTTCCACCAGCTCCTCCAACACAAGCACACAAGATTAATAAATTAAGGTATAAAGTGGGAGAGAAGGTAAATATATCACAAGTCAGCCCATTTTCAAGCCCACAGAGAGCTGCAGCATGTAAAGTTTCAACAATTAACATCTCTCCACACTCACAACAAGTTGTACGTTTACTTCATTTGTTCCCATTGTCAACTGCATTCCGAAAATTTCTTTCTCCTCTTGCGCAGACCTCAGAGGAATATTCTAGAGTCCTGAAATTCACTAAGTGAAACATGACTGGAAAAAAATGGCACTTCCCTAGGGTAAACTCCGGATGAAGCACTGACCTTGGCTCAATGGGAGCAGTCTCATTTGAGTCAGAGAATTGAGGGGTCAAGCCCTGATCCAGAGGCTCTTCCATTGTTGAAGGTGGTACCCTTTGGATGTGATGGTAAGCAGAGATTCCAGCTGCTTTGTCAGGAGAATGTAAAAGTGCTGAGCAGCTCCCCTTTAATGAATATCACGAACAGTCTGGTCACTTGTTTCACTGCTGTTTTGGAAACCTGCAGTGCTCAGATTGACAACACCTTCCCAGTACTGTATCAATGAATACACTCCAAAATATTTAATTGGCTGTGAAACATTTTGGCATATCCTAAGGTGATGAATGGTACTATATCAATGCAAGATATTTTTCCACAAGATCTCTACGAATGGGAAACCTTTTTATTGTTAAACCAAGTGGTCTTTGCTTTAACTTTACATGCCAGATGTAGGTGAGAATGAGATCAGGGTGAGGAATTCAATTTTCATTTGGAAAATAAAACCAAAATAGGTGACAGAAAAAATAAAGTGAATTAGCAATTATCAAACACAGTGCAAAACTTCCATGACTTGAAGCAATTGATTTTAGTTGTTTATCAAAGTTAAGATTTACCTGATGAGGTTTATATGATTATTGAAGCCTCGGCTCAAACTCTGAGCTGGCATCTGGTCTAACCATAGCACTGGTTGATCAGGATCTGCAATTCTATGGTTAAACACAAAGAAAGACTGAATTAGCTGATACAACAAACATCACTCCAGAAGTGAACTGCTTAGCAAAACTTCAATACTGCCAGTTTTGCTGGAGCTCTTTATAGCGATGATGAGTGCCAAATTGACTAATGGCAGCTGCCACACCAGCAGAAGATAGTTTCTCTTTGTATAAATACAAAAGTGCTATCCAATTGGCAATAAAAATAAGGGATTGAAGAATTCCTAGCATGAACCAAGTATGATTTGGATTTCAACATAACCTTTAAGTTGAAAGAAATTTAGGAAAAGACAGCATTAAAGCAATGTTATATTGGAAACAAATGAACCTGGTGATGGCAGTTACTTAGGTTCCTTGGGATAGCAATGAAATTACATTACTCATCATCTCCTGAAAACAATATCTGCTGCAATGCAAGATAGCGTGGACACCAGTATCTTCAAACAAATATTATTCTTCATTTGAGAGAATGGGTAGCATGCTAATAGATTATTGTTCCATGAAAATTGTTACATCAAAACACAAATCAGGTCCTCAGCCAACATCCACAGATTTTAACCTCATGTATCACTCAACAGCAATATGCAGCAGGAACTCAGGAAATATTTTTCTATGTTTCTACTGTACCAAACAATTTATCGATGTCTTTCCTCACTGAACCCATGTAGCTACCACATTTTACATTTGCTAACATGGCAGATCATAGGAATTCTGAACTTTCTGGCTGAGGCTACTATCCACAAACAGGGCCATGACAGAAATGTCAGCGAAACCATTCTGCAGCTTTATAGAATGTGTTATCAGTGGGAAACATTTTAAGGGAAGTTTGCATTAATTTTGGCAAACTTTATTTTCAAAACCTCCAAAAGTGCACTTACATCCCAAGATATAATCCAAATCCTGGCCTTACTGCTGCAAGAAGCACAGCACTGAAAAATAAAAAGGCTAAAAGATGATTTTCCTTAGACAAACCAACAGAATATCATTTTTTGTTAACCAACAATAAATCATTGGCACTGTCAAAGGATCGAGCTTGTACTATGAATTGTGACATTTCATGCCAAAATTGGCCAATATCCTGATAACACATCACTAAATTCAGCCACTGTATTCATCTTTAGATTTTAGCATGGATCACAGCTATAATTATTAGGTGCAGATTTATTTTGCTGCAGGAATTGAGAAAATACTGAATTATGCTGTGGTTGAATGGAATACACAGGTTTAAGTCCGTTTTCAGTTGGAATCCTTTCACCACTTTATACCATTACCTTCTCCATTTCACAGCAATATCAAACATGTCCTTCCACTGCATTAGTCTGGTTTTGCCACTCACACGAATTTTTGAATTTGACCATGCTCGTTGTACAACTTGCATAATTTCTAATGTTGCAAGCCCCATAGCTGCAGAGACACAAGAAGAGTTGTAAATTAGAAGCCCTAACATTCAAGCTCAATTTTAATCCATCATCTATGCATTTTATCAATGATTATTTTCAAGCAAGTTGGGAATCCAATGATTTCTTTCACTCTACCTTCTTTGTCCAGAGTCACAAATGCAGTTACCCAAGTTGAGATCAACTAATGTGTCACAAGTTGATCAAGCCTGGGAGTGCAGATAGACATCACCATGCATTCTCCATTATATTCCGGGTTTCAGTGATTAGTGATGATGCAACAGCAAGAACAACTGCTGTCACTACAACATTCAATGGGCATACGTCCACAGTAAATAACTGTATAGAACAATATTATTACAGTAAACCAGAAATGATATTCTCTCTGCTTTCATTTAATGGAGGATTATTAACTGCACAGAATTAAAAAACAGAACAGGTTGAGTTCAGATGTCAGACCTTTGATCAAAAAACCACAGTGTAAAATCCAATAGAAAAAATATATACTTTTAGAAGTATACACACTTTTATGCAAAATATTAGTCTTTTTTGACTTATGGGTATTATGACTAATACAGAAAATAAGTCAAAGGTCTTAGAGACAGGGATTTAACAAAACAGTGTACCAGTATAAACAATGTTACTGGAAAAATGGATGGTTAGAAACACAACCAGACAAAAATGATCAGATAAATGGGTGTAGCAAAAATATTCTGTTCACAAACTACACAGTATGACATTGTGTATTAGGGTATAATGAAGTAAGACACTGTAAACTATTTTCTTTAAAACAAAGATTTGACTATTCTTCTATATATTTCAATGTGTGTTCTGCTCAGTGAGGGGCTTCATGCAAAGGTGGCAGGGTTGACAGAAGAGAGAGGGCAGATGTTGAGATGGTAGGGCATGTGGGCCACCTGATCAATGAAATTCTCCACTGGTAATACCTCAAGCATCAATTCAACCTGTGGAATGATGAGCAGATGGCTTTGACCCCACTGACATGATCATGAACAACAATAACTATCGAGACCAGTCAGTGATGGCGAGTTAGTCTGGTATGAGATCTGGCAAGCGGTCATTTTAGAGGGCCAGTACTTCCTTAAAAAAAAACCCCTTCTGACAATGCCTGCAACTGACTAGACCCAGATATTCAGGTTTTTTCTTGTCAATAGCTATAAATGCAGGAGTATGAGGCTGTTGCAAATTCTAGCTAAGGTTTAACCTCCTAAACTAAACCTCGCAATGAACGCAGCAGACATTAAAAAGGACAAATTGAATTTGTGCACATCCATCTTACATAGATGGAAGGGGACAGTTACAGTGAAATTTTCACTATCATTATTCCATACAGTTATTTACTGGAGTTGGATAGATGTCCAAACACACAGACATAACATACACAAATCACTGTTCAACAATCTGACTGCAAGAGAATGCCGGCTCTAGAAAAAAAGATGGCTTGATGGTGAGCCATTTTTAGCATAAAAACACAATGGTGGTATATTCCCTAACCTCACCAACATCATTCTGATTACTAGGATGAATTGGATAACCCATGAGAAAAGGGTGAACAGGTTGGGCCTAAATCTACCAGAGTTTAAAAAAATTAGAGGCATAAAACATAAGCCCCTGAGGGGACTTGGCAGGGTGAATACTGAAAAGTTGGTTCCTACATCAAGTGAGACTAGAACTTGGGGGACACGGTTTAAAAATGTTAAAAATATGGGGCCTCTCTTTGAAGACTGAGATGAGGAGATTTTTTTCTATCAAAAGTTTACCACCTTGTTGAACTCTCCTCAGCAGAATATGGTGGAGACCAGGTCACAGAATATTTTATGTCAGAGGTAGATAGATTCATGACTAACAAGGGAGTAAAGATCATTAGGTTTTTTTGGGAATGTAGAGTTGAGGTCAAAACTAGAATAGTCACAACCTTACTGAATGGCGGAGCAGGCTAGAGGCGCTAAATGGCCTGCTCCTGCTCTTTATAATTTTTAGTAAATTTGCAATAGGAGTTTACTGGACAGTCAAATGCAGTAATAGCCATAAAGTTTTTGCTTTTTTGAGCAATATCATAAAGCTAGGTCAAAACTTGCAATGCTAATCCAACAAAGTATCGCCATGCATCTTTGGTTTATATAGTTGAGTGCACCAATAAAGATGTTCTTTTACTGAGAGCTGTGAATCTTAGGTATTAAATACTGAAAAGTGTTGTAGATGTTCAGTATACTGAACATATTCAAGACCGAAACCAACAGATATTTAGGTATTAGGGGAATTAAGAGTTACGGGGACAATGGGGAAAGATGGATCTGATGATGATGGTCAGTTATGATCTTGTTGAATCGTTCAGCATTTCAAAGGGCCAAAAATGCCGATGACAGCTCCAACTGCTCGCATTGTTAAAATGAGCACAAAATCTGCCATGGCGAGCAAATTCAAGCACTCAACTGGGGCGCAACATGGCTCAAACTGCACGTCAGGATGTTCTGAAAATGTTTCCTCAACTTCAGTATCTTGCAGCTTACCTCTGTGTATCCTTCTGTTTGGAAGAAAGCCAGGTGTGTCATATTGCATAAGAGAACCCAAGCGATCTGCAGTGCAAATTAGCTCCTGGACCTCTATGTTGTAGCTTTCAAAGTTCTGAGGTAGAACATCCCTATGATTTTAAAAATATTTGCAATCAAGCTTAGTTTATGCAAAAGTACAAAAGTACGGTATTCAAAATAGATCAATTAACGAGCACCACATGCTGATGTAATTTGAAAAGACATCTTTACTTTCTTTTCTCATAACCAAATTACTTACCCTCCATTCACCTCACAATAATATCGACAGCATTCTGAAGTTCCAGCAACAAGATACACAATTTTTTCTTTTATAAATTTGGACCCCAAAATCATTTGTGTATTTAATTAACAAAATTAGAACCTGGGATCTCTGGATTGACATAACTTAATTGTGCACTAGTTAATTTCATTTAGGAATTATGGGAAGTCCAAAAACTCCTAAATGGACTGTGTTCAAGTTCTTCGGATTATATTTATCTTCCTAACTGCAAGTCCTCAGTGCTCACAGCTTCTAATTTTGCCATAATCAAACACTGAATGCCTGTATCTTAATACCTTTGACGTTATTTAATACCACACTGAACTTTTCATTCCATTCTTCAACGAGAGTTTCCTTTTTGTAATAGTTAACCACATTTACTCCAAATGCCTCCATCCTTAAGCATCATACATACCCAATATAAGTCTCAAATAAAACATAATGTAGCAGGTGCTGGAGATCTAAACTAAAAATAGTGAATGCTGGAGAAAGTCAACAGGTCTGGCAGTATCTGTGGAAAAAGCAACAGAGTTAATGCTTCGAGTTGGACGTGACTCTTCTTCAAAACATATCTGTTTCTCTCTCCACAGATACTGCCAGATCTGCTGAGATTCTCCACTACCATTTTGTTTTTATCCTAATAAAAGTCTAACTAAGAAAGAACACAATCAATAGCTTGACAATATTACACAGTAGTGTTAAAACTCACTTTATGTGAGGCTGTAATCCTGGTTGTTCTTCATAGTCTTCTATAAGGAAGGGAAGATTCTTGGCCCAGTGATCCTTGAAATTTCCAGGAAGGTCAAGGTCTATGTTATACTCCGTCACCGGCAAGTCAAGATGTGCATGTAAGTAACGTGAATATTCTAGAAAAGGGTTAAGCAACAATGTGCAAAGTGCTTATAATAGCATCCACATTTACTCAAGACATATTCAAAGTATCCATAAAATTCCAGTCTACTCAATGCACACTGACACATTACTAACTAATAAAGTCTCCAAAATGTTGTAATAGGCTTTGCTGAAATGTTTAAAGTAACAGCCTCAAAAATCAATGTTAGCCACACATGGAGCAGCAATGAGGTGATAACCTTGACACCACATGCTGGAGTTCCAACACACTATGACATGCACAGGTCAAGAGGCTGAACAGCTGCTTTCAATGGTGAGCTAGCCTATGATTCTATGACTGAGTAAGTTTGCAGAAGGGCATAACATATGCAGTCAAAATTAGCATTAGCACCTTATCTATATTGGATCCTAACTTATAGTCTGTAACTCAATGTTTGGCTTCCAGCAAATAGTGATGGGCGATGAATATTTGAGAATGAAGCTAAAGACAGTTGCTTTTCTACACACCATCAGCAGCTAGATAGAGAAACAGAACAGTTAAACTGGTTCTCTGTAACTTGGCTAGTCCCATTCCTAGAATTCTGTAAATTTTCTCTTTTCAGTTGTTAATCAAATTCCCTTTTGAAATCTGCCTCCAACACACACATAGGTAATACGTTCCAGATTTTAACTACTTGCTGTGTTAGCAAATGGACAACATGAAGAAAACATTTTTTTTAAAAAACATTAAATGGATGCCTGCTGGTTCTCAAACCTTAAGTCATTGGGAATGCTTCTCTCCATGTACTTTGCCTAGACACGGTCATGATGTGAATACCTCTACCAAATCTTCCAGCAATTTTTTCCTCTCCAAGTAGGACAGCCCCAGCTTCTAGAAGGCCCTCATCCCTGGAACCCTGACATTTTTGGCACCTTCTCTGAAGCTTTCACACCCTGTCTAAATTGCTTTGCCAAGAATTGGACATAATATTCTAATTGAGGCTGAACCAGTGTTTTACAAAAGCTTCCTCATGATGTGAGACAACAAGGTGCAGGGCTGGATGAACACAGCAGGCCAAGCAGCATCATAGGAGCAGAGAGGCTTTTGACGTTTCGGGCCTAGACCCTTCATCAGAAAAGGGGGAGGGGAAGGGGGTTTTGAAATAAATAGGGAGAGAGTGGGAGGCGGATAGAAGAGGGATAGAGGAGAGGATAGGTGGAGAGGAAACAGACAGGTCGAAGAGGCGGGGATGGAGCCAGTAAAGGTGAGTGTAGGTAGGGAGTTAGGAAGGGGATAGGTCAGTCCAGGGAGGACGGACAGGTCAAG